CTCTGTCCCAGAAATTATCAGTGAGAATACTGGAGTTATTTCACCTCCTGCATTAATCCAGGCCTTCCTAAAATGTCAAGCCACCAGCAAGCACTGAGAAGGAGCATCAGAAATTTCCATCAGGATGTGTTTGGGATTGTTGGATATGATGAGATGAGATATAGTTTGTATCTAAAATGAATTTATAATGTATAATTATAATAATAATTTATAAAATAATATAAGATAATTTATAAAATAAGGAAATAAACACAGCTTAAAATGTATGCAGTATTTAGCACTGTTTATTCTATAAATGTAGAGGTCTCCAGTCTGCTGGTGGCAGAGACGAAAGGACAAAAGTATACTTTGAACTGCTTCTTTCCCGAGCTTGCTTTTTTGATGACTCACCTTCAAGTCCTAATATCTGTTTATACAGGATTCCTCACATCACTTCTTAGTAGTATATAATATCTCTTTTGCTCCCCACACAAACATGAAAATGGATAGAAATCGAATCTACTCCATATAAATGTGTTTACATAAACCTGAATGTTAGACACTGTTTAAAAGACAGAAGCTGGCATTACTCAGTGGGAACCCACCATCATCTTCATCATCTTTCTTCCCTTTAAATGAAGTTCTCCAAGATGGTCACTTTCTCACAATGTATTTCTGCCTCTGCCCTATAACTGATGATGTCTAATAGCAGCACTATTAAAGACAGTTTATTGGTAACACAAGTGTTTCCTTCTACTTCTTCCCATTCGTAACTGAAAAGACTCATTCTTATAAATGTCACTGTAAGTGAAAGAAAGCTGTCCTGTTCCCTATGCTGTTCCTGTATTTGCATTTTTTATGCAAACAGAAGCATGGTTTCACATAGCATTAGTTCCTCATGCACATCACATGGTGCAGACATCTCTCAGATGTTTTCCAATTTTACAGGCTTTTTAGTATCTCTCTTGCTACGTTCTAGAGCCCTCTGGTGGAAAAAAAGTATGGTGTCAGCTTACTAACAGCTTACTGAACAGTATAAATTCAAAGGGTTTTTGCTATCACGCTAAAATCACATGCTCTGTGTGTAAAAGAGCCTTTGTTATTTTTGAATCATAAAGACCATTCATTGTATTAACAGGTTATGTACTAGAATGAGGTCAGCCACTAACTTCTATGTGATCATTTATAGAGATTTGATAGAAGAGTTGACAAAGAGCCTGTTCTTCACCATTTGGACAGACTGAAGATAGCAGAACTCACATTTGCTCTTTCTCAGAATCAGAAAGAGGAAAGACCAAAATACTTCACCAAAAGAGGAAATAAGTTTTCTGTTTCTTCCATTGGATTAAGCCACCAGCCCATAGAAAGCAGAGCACTGGTTCAACAAGGCTTTTGAATAGCTTTAGTAGGTCACATGAATCTTCATTTGGCACTGAAAAGTTTGCTTCTTTGATCAAGGTGGAAATATTTCATTTAAAATAAAAAGCTATTTTCTTCCAAAACTTCTCATTAAGGCTGTTTTGGGGGCACCAGTATATTTTGTCTCCTATCTTTCCTGCCAAGTCTCCAGGCTGCTGAGTGAGGCGAGAGGAACTGGCAGGCACTGAGGGCACAAGAAGGCACCCTGCTACTTGTGGCCTCACTTAAAAGTTGAAGTCCATACAGGAAAAGCCTCTAGTTAAAGGCCCATGAAAATCAGTTTGGCACCACATAACTGATGGAGTTCTCTTTTAGTTCTGAGAAGCAAACTTGTCTGTGTATAAGCAAAATGAAACTGAACTCCAATTGCAGCAAGAAATACTTTGCGTTTGAGATAGAAACCCAACAATAATTTTAGCTTATTTTGAGCATACATTTTCTGAGATTTTCTGCTCCAATAATGATTATATAAGATTTATTATTATTATTATTTGCTTTTTTAAACCAGATTGGTTTGCACTGTATTCTTTGAAAAGTGCTTTGTTTTCTAGCAGAGCTCTGGCAGATAAAATCCTTAATGTGCTCACTATTACTGTAAGTCAGGACATTTTTATTAGGTTCCCTAAGAAGGGACGGTTTAACTCAACATTGAAAGTTGGTGATCATCTAAAATCTTTCCTTAGCTTCTATCAACAGCTTCCATTGAATACGTACAAACACTCAGCTGCTGAATTCATCCATGCATGCTGAGGTTTACCTGTATCTTCTGCCACATCTAGCCACCTAGAGTTAGAACTATGCAGCATACCTTTGGCCTTTATGTTCCAAACTTCCCTACGTATTTAAGGCACATCTGGGCTTTAAGAGAAGGCTTTAAGAATTCAAAGAGTAATGCTTGTTTCAAGTCAACTGTGCAAGAGAAAATATCTAAGGGTAGCCCTACACCACAACTTCTGACTTCATGCAGTGAGCTCTCATGTCTGCATTTCATAAAATCATTGAATCACCAAGGTCAAAAAAGACCTCTAAATCATCCAGTCCCTATCTATCTGTGGTGCAGGAGTTTGTTGAGGAATTGAAGTTCATCCGTATCCATAGACAAGAAGTACAGCACATAAAAGTGAAACCTTCAACAGTCTTATTTTGTTTGAAGGATGGGACAGCACCCTTGTGGATTGCATCGCAGATGGGCCATAGTGAAGTGGTGCGAGTCATGCTGCTCCGGGGAGCTGAGCGGGACGCTGCACGGGATGTGAGTAGCACTGCTGCACTTTGCAGATTCTTCTTGGTTTGTTTTCAGGCTGCAAAGCTCTCTGAAGGGAGGCCCAGTGTTCCCAGAGCTTATTCTGTTTGCCAGGTTGTAACATTCTCCCATGGGCTCTGTTTCTCCATGTGCACCTAGAATAAGGGATTGGAGATAGAATCATAGTATACTATGGCTTAAGTGGGAAGGGACCTTGAAGATTGCCTAGTTTTAATCCCTCTGCCACAGGCAGGGTTGCCACCCACTAGATCAGGTTGCCCAGGGCCCATCCAACCTAGCCTGGAATGTATCCAGGGATGAGGCATCTACAACTTCTTTGCACAACTTGTTCCAGTGCATCATCACCTTCTGAATAAAGAATTGCTTCCTAACATCTAAGCTAAATCTCCCCTCTTTTTCTTAAAGCCATTCCCTCCTGTTCTAGCATTAACAGATCATGTAAGTAGGCAGTCCCTCTCCTACTTATAAGCTCCCTTCAAGTACTGGAAGACTGCAACTGGGTCTCCCCAGAGCCTTCTCTGAACTAAACAAGCCCAACTCCCTCAACCTTTCTTCACAGGAGATGTGCTGCAGCCTCTGAGATGTCCATACAAATGAGAAACAAGCATGAAATAGAGTATCACTGGTTTATTTCTCCTTGAAGCTTTCACCTCTTGGGGGTACAATCCTCCAGATGCCCTGAAATCAGCAGCATGTGTTGTGGAGATGCCCCCTCAAAGGTGATAAGCAGAGTAAGACCCTTCTCCCAGGATGTAGGGGTCAGCTGCAGTTGCCCTCCAGACTAGGTGAATGAGGATAAAATGTTTGTTACAATTGAACTGATCTTCTTCCCTTTTTTGAAGGATGGTACCACTGCTTTACTGAAGGCTGCCATTAAAGGGTACAACAATGTGATAGAAGAGTTACTGAAATTTTCTCCCACTCTCGGTCTGCTGAAGGTTAGTAGTGAAACATACAGTTTTAGACAAATACAAACAGTCAAGGAGTCTAATGAAAGTCCTTAATGTTCCTAATTATGCAAGTGGAAGACAATAAATTTTTTCAAACTCAAAAAGTCAAGAGAAAAATGGAATTAACTTGTTTAGTCACTGGGGCTACATACAAACAAATCACTTGAAAAAATGCTGTGAATTTGATTTTTGGAATGAGGAAGCACATTGTGTTGTGGAAGGAATTATCTTAGTTTCTGTCAGCTGACAGAATCTGTCAACAGATTGCTCATGATGCAGTTTTTAGCATTATACCCTGTGCTTTATTGACTTTAGTCAGCAAACTGGGATCCTGAGGGATCTGTTCGTGAGCTATTCTCTTTTTATTTTTGAATTCAAAACATGACTGAAAAATAATAGCAGTTCTTTGGAAGCTGCATTTTAATAGCGAATGAAATTGAGTGTACTCATAAATCACACACTTTAATAGACTCTGTGGATGCATCTAATTGGCAGTTTTGATATACTTGAAAATTCAGGTGTCGTTAGCTGAGTTGCTAATTACAAGAATGAAATATCTTCTACACTTACTTGAGCTGTCAGTTTGCAGACATGAGCAAAAGGTCAGCTACGGAAAAAAAAAGAAAATCACCGCTCAGCTGTCTGCCAGTGAGAACATTAATCATCAGAGAAGAGAAATAATATGCACAGATGGTTTCCATTACTGCTTGTTCTTGTTTTTCACTTGCTAATGGCTGATACTGCCAGGCAGCAGCAAGTGCTGAGTTCATTTCACCTCTGATCTATTGTCAAGGGCAACTTTTAAAAGAAGACATTACTGTGATAAAAAAACACCCTGACTTTCTTCATTAAAGCATTTAACATCATCTCTTTTGTAATTCACTAGCCTGCCTGCACCCTGTCTCAATCACAATCATCCTCTTTGATGGCATAACCTTTTCCATATTATTTACTGTTTGTGTGTTTGTTCATTGCGAACGTTTTTGTTTCACTGCTCTTTTGATTTCAAACGTCTCCACCGGTGTTTTCCAGAACGGTACTTCTGCTCTCCACGCAGCTGTTCTGAGTGGCAATGTTAGGACAGTGGCATTGCTCCTGGAAGCAGGAGCAGACCCATGTCTGAGGAACAAGGTACGTCCCGGCATGCCACTCTGGGCAAGGATGCACTGAGCTTTGGAGCACCTGTGCATGTCACATGGTAGCTAGGTTATATTCTAGGGAACAGTTATTTGTTTCCATAAGCCGTAACTTGTATTTGTGTCTTACGTGGCAGATGTGTAAGGAGGATAATTCTGTGGTAAGGAATGTGTATATGGGCTCCTTTGGTACAATTTGCTTAGGATTTAGCACATTCTTAATATTGAAAATACCTCAAAATTACACACCTTTCCACCACATTCTTGTAAATATGTTAGTTTATTGAAATAGTTTCAGATTCTTTTTATGACAGCAGAACATTGGCTTTTTTTATTCTGTAAAGTGTTTTAATACTGTATGTTTGGTCATTTCTATGGAAGTATCTTCCTCTGAGTTGTCTTTATGAACTATTTGCTGTTGGCATTTGATATCTGGCTGGCTTAGTTAAGCTGTGAATGAGTTAACTGGTATTTACTTCTGGTTTATGATTATGTCAGTGAAATTTTATAATACAAATAATCCAGCATATGCATTCTGATAAAATCTTCATGTTATTTCTATATCAATCCACTTGATGGCAGCAGAGTTAATGCTGCTTGTATGGCAGTTTTGCTGTTCTCCAAGGTGCAAGATTTTTCTGCTGTTGATGGCAATCTGCAGTAGGAGAGTGTGCAGCATAGAAAGGTCTGCATTTATAACCTCTTCTACCCATTTTTTTTTAATTTGATGTAAAACAGAGTACATTTGCAAAACAGAATTACTGATATTCAGAAGTAGATTCATTATAAGTATTTTCTGTAATCAGGTTGTTTTTTTTTCAATACGTAAAGAAGACCAAACTCTGCTTTTATATTATCTATCCTAAAGAATAGGGCTGACTATTTCATAGCAATTAAAGTCTTTCTTTTGATTTTTATTTCCCAAAAAAACAACTCAGCAGCAATGTTCTCTTTAAATTTTGTGCCTGCAGCAAAGAGAACTCAAAGGATACGATTTAGTTTGGGCAGGCAGCACAAAATAAGCTGACCAGACAGATCCCAGGCTAAGATTATTCTGAAGAGTTGAGTGATACTTGCACACTGCATGCAAAGATTACTTCTTAAGGTATCTCCAACAGTGGTAGAGACAACGTTGAAATAAGCAGGTAATGGTTAAGCTCAGCACCATGTTCTTTAGAACTGAATGCTTTTAAAGAATGTATAGGAAATAATTGCTTATTTTTCCTAACTTTGAGGTTTTTTGTTCCAGGCAAATGAATTGCCAGCAGAACTAACAAAAAATGAACGTATTCTCCGACTCCTCCGCACAAAGGAAAAGCAAAGGAAAAGCTAATGCAGCAAATGTGTTTTGGCAGAGTTGAGCCCCGATGACATTAGCATGACGGTAAACCTAGATTGACCAAGAAGGGCTTTTTGAAACAGTTTGCAGAACTGATCAGCCTCTCCAGCATATGACTGTGAACATGTGAGGCCCTTGCCAGGGAGCCACCATGCCCTTGCGCCTCCACATGGCATCTCTGAACTCAGAAGGATGACGACAAGAGCAGGGTTTGGCCTGAGAGCAGTGTTTGCATACAGACTTTCCTATGCACCAGGGACGTTAGCTCCTCCACGCCTGCAGTCTGTGCATCCCCCCACACCCAAGTGCTCCCAGTGTTTCAAAGACACATTCCCATACTGGCATGGCCACACACCTAGTGATGAGTGCCTCGGGGTGCACTTGTGGGCTGGGAGCACTCAGCCCTTGTGCCAAAAGGACACACAGGTCTTGCAGCTGTTTGGAGTCAGTTGGTCCCCACGGTGCTGCTGCAATCCCTTTGCTGGCAGTGCTAGCTCTGCCAATTCCTCTGTACCACCAAGTGCCACACAAGGCTAGAGGGACATCCCGTCTGTGACATCCCAACAGGAAAAGTCCTCCTGCCAGCCCAGGGCTTTGGTAACATTTTGGTTTCTACATAGAGCTTTGTAAAATGATCCAGAGCATTATGAATTATGCCAAAAGATACCAAACAAATAATAACTAAAAGTGATTTCCTCCTTGACGTAGCACCTGGACTGATTCCTCTGTCCAGCAACAGAGACACAGTGGGACAGCATGCAGCATTTTGCAATGTGTATGCAGTGCTGTGGGAAGGTATCCTCAGCCCTACAGCATACATACCCACCTTTCCACAGGAAAGGACAGGATAAGTTTCTGAGCAAATCAAGTACATCAGAAGTTTGGCTGTCAGACACAACAGTACGGATGCTCTACAAGTAATCTACGTATATTCTGCATGCCGTTCCCTGTATGTTACACTATGGTTTGATATCCACTACTACTATGCAATGCACTCTTCTGTGATGGGAGTTAATGAAGAAGTTCACAGCATACAGGTGTTTTTAACAGCTGGTGAGAGGGTTACATGTAGCCACACTTGAACAGGCCCACTAATGAATGTGGGCCTGGAAGATGAATTATCAACAGCAAATTTGTCCTTTGTTTTGTGGCTGAGATGCTTAGAATGAGACATGCTACTTGGTGCCTGTGTGCAGAAAGCAGAGCAAATTGTTAAGGTGTTGTAAAGAGCTGTTATAACCATATTACTATAAGTTGCTACATTGAAACCCAGACATTTCTGCAGTATGTACTAAAACATAAACATACTAAGTCTTGTTAGCCACAAACACATTAGAGATTATTTTGCAGTGAGTTGAGATACAATGTTAATCCAGAATATAAATCCAGACATTTCACTTGTCTTCAGACTCTGACAAATTGTTGAAAAATTATGTAAGATGTTGAGGACAGAGAAAAAATGTAAGGAAGCATAAAGTATGCTCTGCTTTAAAAATGGATTTAGCTAGGATTTAGCTCAATTTTTGCACTTTTGCTTCAGTGTCTGGAGGGAAAAAAAAAAAATAGTGAGTTTGCACAAAGAAATGCAGTTTACAGTAGAGCAAATTAGCCATATATATTACCAAATCATAAAGTTATTATTTTTGTGAGTAAGTGAGGTAAGAAGTCAGGGTTGGATAAAGAGAGCTGCTTGGCAGCTGAAATTTCTCTTAATTCAGCATTAGAAAGGAAAGCTTTAAGTTTTCCAACAGTGTAAGGCAACATCAGAAAACATCTAATTGCTTAGGTAATACATGCTGCTGTATTTTTCAAATTAAAATAATGTGCCTCACTGAAACTTCACAGATGAATTGGTACAGAACCAAAGAATTATGCAAGACATGTGGACGATGATTGTATCCAGGTTTCAATCCTCTGAAAGACTGAAAAAAATTGAGCAGGTAGAAATCTTGAGAGCCTTATTGGGAAAGTTTGTTGCACAGCATTTTACAGGGCTGGACTCTAACTTCTTTAACAAGTTCATTTGGAGGCCACAGCAGGCTGAAGGTGAACATACTGTTCTGGAGAAAGCTACAGGGACTCCAGGCAGCCTTGCCACAACACTGATATTTCTCCTTAAAGTTTTTTCATATAAACAGATGTGAAAAAAACACATCCTTAAGATGAAAAGCCCTGTCAGAGTTGTGAAGGGGAAGGATAATCACTGGAGGGTCTTCAGTAGCCAGCCATTCTGGGTGAGCAACGATTATTATCAGATGGGCTGCAGGTAACCTCTCTGCCAGGCATATTTCTTGTTCAGGTAGTCTCACCCTAAAAGGGCCAGCTATTCAACAGAAGAGCTACTTGAGCTATGCCTGCCCATGAGAAAATGCTCCCCACCATTCACAGCAGGACTTTCCAGGTCCTGTTCCCTGCTGCCTCCATGACTGGCTACCACAACCTATGTTCTAATGCAGCAGGTGAAGAACATCTGGGATGACACGTCCCATATGGGTATCTGATGGCCTTCTTATGGGATGCACTTACTAGATCTTCTTTTCTGAGTAGTGTTGGGCTGTAGTAACAGGCTTTTCTTGCATCTAAAGAATATTTAAAATGTGGTTCTGCCACAGTTTGAAGGGAGAGGCTCGTAGCTCCCTCTAGGCTCTCCTTAATGCTGGGTGGTAAGGTCCACAGGCTGTACAACAGTGGTAGAGAAGTGTCAGGAAAACATTTCTCTGCCATGTTCAGATTGAAGTTGAATCTGGCTTCAGCCAAGACCCTCTTCATCCAGCTTGCGGTTTTTAGGCATGAAGACCTTCTGGTATTCGCTTCATCTTGGAGCCTTTGAAGAGAGGGCTGGATTTGGCTTTGAGTTCCCTGTAACTAAAAGGTGCTTATTTTGGCTGTAGATGGGCTTGGAAGTTGCAATACTGTTTACCACTACGCAGTTAACCTTTTCACAAAGAAACCTTAATAATTCTTAGTGTTTATGTAACCACTGTTATCTTTAAAGTGCTCAGTAAATACTGCTGTGGTTTGTTTGTTGTTCTAAAACGGAAAGCCGCATTCCTTTTCTGGTTGAAGTGATTTATTGATATCAACAGTAGCTCTTCACGTTGCTGTAGTGCTTTTTGTGTGAGGGATTCAAAGTGCTCTGCAGACACAATCATCTTTGGAAGTTCCAAATTGCATTTCTGGAATAGGCAGGGAAATAGATGAGTTCATTCACACACCAAACAAACGCAGCAGCTGCTCACCTGTTCACATTAGTAGGCAAGAATAAACTTAGACTAGAAATTAAGGGGTACCAAATCCACTTCATAGATGACAGAAAGAAGGTAGGTACTGGCTAAGGACACGAAGTAGAAATAAAACAGGACAAAGAGTCAAAATGCTTTCCAAGAAGTGCCATAAATACATGTATCTCACAGAAAACAACAGTGCCAGTATCACAATGCTTTAGGTTTGCCGCTCTGCACATTGAGATCCAGTGACCTAGCCTGCTGCCCTCTCTATCTGGGATCTGTGCAGGTATTATGGGCTGCTGACTTCCTATCAGCTGCAAGTGAATACAGAGGTTGTGCAACAAGCTCCACATGAGCCAAGGAAAAGTATATAAAGCTTTATGCCTGTGTTTCAGATATCTAGCCATTGTAGGATGGAGATGAGCACAAGGAAAGACCTGTGGGTACAAAGAGAACTGGCATCCCATCGGAGATGTGGTAGTGGTATGGCCTCAGAGATCACAGATATATGGAGCCCTTTATTTAGGATGATCACTGCTGTGCAATGTACAGGGATGGGTACTTGGGTTACAAAAGGTAATGTCGTACCTCCTGACCTAATGCCACTTCTTGCACATGTCATTCTTTCCCTGGAGCAAAATTGCCTTGCTATTGATCCACCCACCTTTGTTTAGATTAGAAGAGCTGAGAAGATCAGAGCACCAGATGAAATAGCCGCAGGTCAGATTTAATGCACTTTAACAATCACTGTTTGTCTCAGAATCTATTTGCAGGAATAATTCACACTTCATTCAGCCAATCAGAACGACTACTGGGAAATCAGTAAGTAAATAAAATTTCATGTTGTCTTGGAAGTTTCAGAATTGTTGTACATAAAATGAAGCAGCACAAAAACTTTTTGTCCTTCACTTAATGCAAACTCTGAACAGACACAAAATACTATTGTTGTTTGGAACCCCTGTCATTACCCCATGCTCCATGAGTCAATGATGTTAAAATGCTAATGTGTGCTAACAATCCAACCAAAGATCATATATATGGCTCTTTTTTTCCAGCATTGGAGTAACATACTGCACATATGGGACTAAATAGAGTTGTGCCTTCTCACAGCAGCTCTGCATTCAGTCCTTTCAAATGTCATCTTAGTTTCATACTTGTCTGAATTCCAGCTTCTTTTGACCTGTCCTTCTACACATTCAATAAAACCTACATAAATGTAACACAGCATAAGCCTGATGATACTCTACAACAAGAATGTTGCTTTGCTAAAACATATTTTTCCATACCATTGTTTCAATAAAAATGACTATATTATTCAGCTTACCACACTTGTCTGTCCACTTCAATATTTATCTGCCACCTGTTATTTCAATATTTTTCTGTATTCTGTTATTTCTATTTGTAGAATACCAGAATTAATGTTCTATTCATGTTAAGACCACTTTGTTCTGTTCTACTTGGTTCATTAGACTTCTATTTATTTTCCAGGTCTTTTTGGGTGAGATAGCATTCACAAAACAAATAAAGCCGATGCTCTGGCTTGAAAAACAGGAAAATTTAATTTAGCGTGACAAAATAAGGTTTGTTTCACAGATCCAGACATCACTGACAGACTTCCCTTGACATTAATATCCATTAGGTCAGATCTAAAGGGAAGATTTCAAAAAAGCAACTCAAGAAACAAAGGAGTAAAACTATATCTTTATTCAGTCAGTCAAACAAGTCTTGGTGGTTCAGTTACTATTCGTAAATGTAATGCTGACTCTTATCCTGATCCGATCTCCTTCAGTTAAAAGTCTACATCCTGCCAATATACTTATTATAGTAAGCTGTGGATTATGCCTCTTGTAAAAGGGAAAATCCACACTACAAAGTCTGTGTCTGACATCCCAGGCCATTTGCCTCATTTGTACAATTTTGTGTTTTGATGAGCTATATTTTGATTTAATGTCAAGAATCCCTACAGTCACACTTCAAGAAAGCATCTCTATCTATTCAGAGAATATCAAAGAAAAGGGTTGTGACTTGTCCACGAGTGAAAAAGCAGCATCTAAAGGCTTAATCTATTAATTTCCCCATATGTTGTGCAAAACCAGAAGTTTATTTGTGAATGAAGAGGAGACAATATTTGATGGCTTGCTAGTTATATACAGGAAGCAACATCTTCCAAAGCATGCTAGCTAAAATGGCCAGCCTGGACAGGACAAGGGGAATGGTTTTAAACTGAGACAGGGGAGGTTTAGGTTAGATATTAGGAAGAAGTTTTTCACACAGAGGGTGGTGACGCACTGGAACAGGTTGCCCAAGGAGGCTGTGGATGCCCCATCCCTGGAGGCATTCAAGGCCAGGCTGGATGTGGCTCTGGGCAGCCTGGTCTGCTGGTTGGTGACCCTGCACACAGCAGGGGGTTGAAATCAGATGATCATCTAATCACCTTTTCAACCCAGGCCATTCTGTGATTCAACGATTTTGTGAGTGAAATAATGCAATATCCAAGAAGTAACATTATGTGATAATAATAGCCTTCTTGACCTTAAAATATATGTGTCAATAAATTTGTTGCTGTATCTTCTCGGTGATTTAAAGAGACGCTAACTCTCAGGAGATCAATAACAAGTCCCATGCCTAGCAACTTTGTCTGCCCAGCAAAACGGAGTCTCAGACACGTATCTAAGCTGTTGTTAACTAAACGATTTTGCTCTGACTATGTCGACAAGCCATTCTCACTGGACTAATGCTTTAATAATGTCTTGCTTTTAACGTTCACCCAGAGCTGCTCCAAACTCTGCATAGTGCCGCGCTTCGTCAGCGAGCAGGGAACAGCACAGCAACCTATGCTGTGCCAGCTGGGAACACAGCTATGTCAGAACAGATTTTTGCCACGGCAAATGTTTCACTGACTCAGATATACGGATAGAGCATGACACTAACATACAACACAGGCCAGAAAATGTCTGTGGTTTTATATGCACTGCACATTTCTGTTCTTGTAGGGTACATACATATACATGTAGGGTACATACATATACATATATTTATATATATGTGTACATACTTGGTGTCCATGTATATGTATAAATTTCTATAATCACTTCAGAAAAGGGATACATGAATCTCATCTTCTGATTGTCTGGACTGTATGGTGTTGAGAAGCAAAAGAACAACTCATTTTCTGAGGACTCCAAGAACAGTTTCTGAAGGTCCTTTACTACCCATGATTCTCCATCAAATCCTACTGAGACCATTTCTAAAATTTACAAAATATCTCCAAGCCCAAAGATAAACAGGCTGATCTTCAAGACCACTGTGGATCTTGAACCTGACTCCTGTTCCTCCTCTCCAGCTGCATTTGGCAGTGTCCACAGGAACTTTGTGTGATGGTTCTGCTTATATTCTCTATTTTGACAACAAATCCTGAGTTAAACATCAAATGGCAGCATGGTACTCAAGGAATAGTAACCTGATATTAATGCAAACCCAGGGCCTTAAAAAGCCATTTATGGGGTAAACTTCTGAATTGGTTAGTATATTAGTGTTTATGCACGGTATCTAGCACTGGTACACACTTTAGGTATTTGCTTGTAGCAACATATCAGTTATCCCCAAATTCTGCTGCAGTAATAAGATGCCTTACCACAATGCCTTACCACATCTTCAACAGCTCCCTGATCCATACCTGCTTTTTAATATCTTGGACCACATTTTGCCATGCAATTGGTACCATGTTAAGGAAGAGCAAATTGTACTGGAGGGATTATCAGATAATTCAGCAAGTCTGCTGCAAACTTGGGTCAAGCTTTGAATCTTTCGAATTCAATTCCCAAGCTTATGCAACTAGATAATAAATATCTCCACCAAGAACGTAATCGTGTCAAAAATAAATGCAGAAAATATGTGACTATAGGACTTACTAAGTTTAGACAGGGACACGGTGGAACAGGTTGGTGGAGCAGCCATATAAATACACCAGGGCAGATACAAAGATGAAAAGATAAAAGGACTTGATTCAGCACCACCTGACACACTACACGTATATTTAACACTTCTGGCAGCTTCAGGCTGATTGCTGTTAGCTCCTTTGGTGTGATTTGATTCACGTGGAGAGTCTGAAGCCAAGAGCATCTGACCAAATTAATAGCTACACTGAGGTGAGTGTAATTAAAAGTCAAACAGGTCTCCACAGGTAGGGAAGGCTAACAAATGAAAAAAAATTTGCTTACAATGCTAAGTAGGAAACATCAGCTTTGTTTAGTACAAGTATTACTCTGATTTAGCTGGAGAAATATTCTTGGAACATGTTACAGTGGTTTCGACCGGCTCTACCAAAATGTGGAGGTGTGAGAAACTGAAAGAAACCTGCAAACTCACCTGCTGTAGCTTGTCTCCACAAAGGTTGCAAGATTTCCAAGCAGAATATCCTGCCTCCCTATGTGCTTGTGGAGCATGTTGCTTAACACAGCTCCCACTCCTTGCAATGGCCTCTGGGTGCTATCGCAACAGAAATAATAAAGGCTTGTAATAAATGATGAGGAAAAAAAAGCAGCAATGGACATTTTAATTGACTTTGCTGCAAAGTGATCACGTAAACTTTCCATTTGGATGTGCAACTAATTCTTCAGACAGGTTGCAATCTGAAAATTGCACGGTCATTACCACTAGATGACACAAGTCTCATTTCTGCACTGCATAAAGCGATGAAAACACTTCTGAATGCAAAGCTCAGGGCTTTCTGTCAAAGTAGAACAAGGAAAACAGGTACTTATTTTATGCTAGCTCCCAGGCAGACACTTCTGCACCAAAATGATATTCAGTGAAGGAAAGCGTTTATCTGATCCTAGTGGATGATTGAATCATAGTAATTAAGGTAGGAAAAGACCACTAAGACCATCTAGTCCAACTGTCAGGACTATTTTGGTGTAGCAGGACACCAAATGTCATCCTACACTACGAATTAAAATTAGCACCTTCTTACAGGCAGGAAAACTTAATTGTGTGCATACTGGTTGAGAATCAAAATAACTATCCCCTTCCTTCCAAGGAGACAATCCTTGAAAGCTACGTATAACCTTGGGCTTAAAAGGAGCTTCAAAAAATGTAACTTGACAGATGTCCTTAAGCAAGAATAGCTGGCAGTGGAGACAGGCATTTCTGTACCACAGAAAAGGCAATGAGCTGCTGGCAGCATTGATCTGAGTTAACTCTTTGGGGCTACTTTTTTTCCTAACATTAAGCTAACTTAAAGATGAAGCAGTTAAAAGTGCTGGCTTCATAACCAACAACACTCACAACACTTAGACACCAGGGAGCAGCTACAGCTAGCTTTGTATACTCATCCCCTAATTGCGGCAGAAAGCTGAAACCAAGACCAAGGGCTGCAGTAGGACTGAAAGAATACCCAGCCCTGTTCTGTGGGCTGGTAGCATGCAGAGGCAACATAAACACAGATATATGCTCAGGTTTCCACATCTGCCAAGCAAAAAGATTTCAAAACTCACTCTGACCAAGATAGGCTTAGTCTGATCAGCGTTTGTTAATAAGTCTTTGCTTATAATCCACTTTGCTTTCTCTTGGGAGAGAGTGTAGAAAATCTGGAGACATTATATGAAGGGATTGCACTGGAATAACAACATGAATGTATACAGCCTTCTAAATATAGATATCAAGCCAGGATTCAGAGAAAGGTTAAAGTATTACCACCTCTCTGTACTATAGGTGGTAGACAAGGATGATGTTATGGACTTAATTAACTCATGGTGGAAACTGCAACACAATTTTGCAGCAAAAACATGGTGGTTGGACTGAACAACATGCTGAACATGATTCAACACTGCAGAAAGCCAACCACTTTGTACCAGGAAGGGTGTAGCCAGTAGGTCAAGTGTTGTTATTCCTCACTGACTTGTAAGGCCACACCTGGATTCCTACGACCAGTTTTGAGCTCCCCATAATAAAAAGACACTGATGACCCAGGGCAAGTCAAGTTTAATGCCAGCACGATGGCTGAAATAACTGTGATTTTTCAGCCTGGCTCAGGGGACACGTTACTGCTCTCCATGACCACAAAATGGGAAGATGCAGGGAAGCTGGAGTCACACTCTGCTGTGTGTGACAGTGGTAGACAGACTCAAGCTGGAATACGGGTAAACCTCCTTAGCTGCAGGACAGAACATTTTACTATCTGTGCAGTCACACGGTGGAACAGTTTGCTCAGAGAGGCTGTGAATTCTCCATCTCTGAAACAATTAAAATACAAGTGGAAAATTCCCTTTGCAACCTGACCTAAATGTGCTCTGCTTTCAACAGAAAGCTGAACTACAGTGGTCCCTGCCAACATTAATTAGCCCTTAAATATACGATACCAAGGACAACCTGTGTTTTTGTCAGAAGATGGCAATAGCATTTAAATTACAGATTTTATTCCATAAGTATAATGTGCACTAAGGAGCAACAAAGGCAAAAAAAGTAAAGGGGGAATCAGCAAGAAGCTGGGGTGAATGTGCCACACCTGTTTGTTGCGTTTCCTTTGAGGCAGATCCCAAACAGATCAGCAGAGTGGAATCTCCTTACGCCCAGTGATTGCAACATTGGTCAGGCCATCTGATGTCAGTGGATCGGTGCAGCAAACAGACTCCTGCAAGCAAAACCACGGGTAGCAAAGTCCCTGTGAAATCAACACCAAGAGCTGATTTCTGCCTTGCAACCTGAGCTGCCTCGCTTGGGCATTATTTTTATTGCAGCTGTACTGCCGTGGCACCTGGCCACATGCACATGGGGCTGTAAGCTAACAACTTTAAAGCCAAAAAAAGAAGCCTTTGCCTATGCTGTTACGGTAAAAATACAATTGCTAAATTAATTGTATTTTTTTTTGTATTGTATTTAATTTAATTGTAAATTAATCACTAAATTGTGATTAGTACTTTCATGCTCATAAGAAAATAGCAAACGTACTGCAGGTACAACCCACATCCCTCTCGTTCTGAGGAGGCACAACTTTGCTCTGAAGACAGCAAACCACTGCATGCAGCTGTCACTAAACCTTTACCCGTGTGCAAAGTAGCAGCAAAGGCAGGCCACGAGACTCAGGCAGATCATGAGACCCAACTAAAATAAGTAGTTACGAGTTCCCCTAACAGCAAGTTTACTTCCATCTCTAGGGCTTGGCTTGCTCAGGACACGATCAGGCAGCCATCGCGACAGGGCAGCGCAGTACTTTCGCGGTCGTACCACTATCGTTGAGGCAATGACTGCAGGCTTGAGCCACTGGCGAAACCCAGCAGCTTGCCTCATCTCGATGCTCCAGCAAGCACTGCCATCGTTCGGGGCGTTTTCAGAGCAGCTGGCACCACAGGGAAGCCGTGAGGCGTAACTCAAGAGGTCACGAGCAGCGCCAGGCCGCGGGACCGAGCGCTCAGAGGCCGCGAGGACGGGACCGGCGACCGACTCAGTTCATATGGCAGCGTGAGGGGCGGCCCGGCCGTGGCGTGAGGCGCGGCCCCACCCGCCGCCGGGGAGGGGCGGGCCGCAGGCGGCGGCGGTTGGCGGAGACGAACGGGTGCGGCCCCACGGCGGGCTGGAAGCGGCCCCCGGCGGGACTGTAGCACCGCCCGGCCTGGCGGGAGCTGCCCTTCCGGACCTGCGCGGCCGTCTCTCTTTCTCTCCCTCTGTCTCTCTTCGCTGTCGCCCGCTGCTGCGTCGCCATGGGGGACCCGCAAGGCAGCCCCGGGCCGGGCACCTGCCGCCTGCTCGTCTTTCTCCTCCTCCTGTTGCTGCTGTCCCCAGCACAGGTATGGGGGCGCGGGGGGGAACAGCGCCGGTTCAGCTGGAGCCGGGCTCCTGCCTGGGCTGCGGTGTGAGGCCGCCGGAGGGGCCGTGGGGCGTCGGCGGCTGGGCTGCGCGGTGTCACTGCCGGGTGCGGGGCTGCGGCTGGCCTGGGGGCCCGGCGGCCCAGAAAGCAAGCTGAGCCGTGCGGGCTGAGCGAGCTTTGTGCCTTGCTGCTGCAGAAAGCAGCAGCTGTCCGGATGCTGGCTGCCGTGATGCGCCCTGTTATGCAATGCCGGGTGCGTGTGAGTAGCCGTGCAGTCACGTGCCCGCGCGGAGCATTGCGAGTGTCACCGGTGCCTGGCGCGGCTTGCTGCGAGTGTTTACTGCGGAAGGTGGCAGCTCCCTGTGAGGCCTGCTATTGATCGGCGTGTGCGTGCTTCTGTCTGCTCCGAGTTGGAATTCCTTTGCTAAGTTGCTCTGGGGTGGAATGGGAACACCTTAATCCCTTTCTCGGTCAGTTTGTTTGCCTCGTTGTTCAAGGCAGCAGTGAGATACTCTGCTTTCCACTGGAGAAACAAACTATCTTGTACACCTCGGTGTCATCATTTTCTTCTCTAACTGACTTAGAAATGCACGAAGTCAGGGTTTATACCGAGCTCACTTTAAGCTGCCGAGTTGGTCACCTTGTGTGTGCTGAGGCTCTCCTGTGGTAGCAGCCTCTGCTCCTCCTTGGAGATTGAGCAGAAAGCAAGAAACTCCTTCTAGAGAAGCTGGGTTGTTCATTGGTGACTCGTGGTCTCCAGGTGGGTAGCTGATAGTCTTTGCACCTTCCAAGCACTCCTTTCTGTAATGGTTTTGGAAGGACATACTGAACAACATAGGGATGAAGTGTGCCCTGGGCTGGGCAGGACCGAAGAGATACTGTACTTCTATAGCGCAACATCCTCCTCCAACCAGGAGTGTGAAAGAAGTTCCATTGCGGAAGGGTCTTGTTGATCTCTACAGGATCTTGTAGGGGATGTGGCTTTGTGGTTTACAAGAGGTTAACATGACAAAGTGACTTTACAAGACTGAAGCCTTTATGCCTAATGTAAGAAGGCAAAATTCGAGTGGCGGAGTAGGGGAATGAAAACAAACTTGACTTGAAATCTTTGCTGTTATGTGTTTGTGTTTTTGTTTTGTTTTTTTTTTTACATCCTAACATTCCAGAAGTAGACCTTGATATATCTCATACAGAAGCTAGACCTCCAACTAGGCTGTACCTGTATAGTGCTTGCTTGCCTAAAAGAAGCTTTCTGAAGGTTAACTCATTCCCTCTCAAGCATGCTGGTAGAATGTTGTTTTCATGCTTTCAGTTGTGGTGTGGGCCAAACTTGTGTCAAGTAACCTGCTGCTGGCTGGGAGCTAACTACCCATGCATTGAGAGCCTTGGCTCTTTTATTCCTGTTTTTTTTTTTTTTTTTTTTGTGTGTGTGGATTGTAATTTCTTTAAATTAAGGAGTAAAGAATACCAAGCCTCTTAAATTCTTGTTCTCTTATCAGCTTTTTAATATGCTAGATGGCATTTTGTGTGCTTAATGTCAGCTGATGCAGTTGGCAATTATACCAAAACATAGGCTGTCAATTAGTGGTTAAGCAAGGCTGGACACTGTTTCCCATCAGTAACTGGGATCCCAAGCTACAAGGTGAGATCAACTTAAATGTTTCTGAAATCTTTACTGATGGGCATTAGTGGCTGATGCTGCTCAGTCCCAGCCTTGTCAGGTGACCTGCAGTTTTGTGTGTGGCCTATGGTGGGAAGATCTGAAATGCCTCTGTGAAGGAACCTGCATGTCAGGGGTGGCAGCATAACTTCACAACAGAACGGTAAGAGTAGATGCTTCCTGGAAAATCAGGAGTGACTTGTTCGTTGTCATTCTGGATGGAAAGTGAGGAAGGTGCCTTAGGAGCGGAGGGATGCCTGAGGTGAATGAGTGGAGCAGTGCTTGACCGTCCAAGTAGCCAAAACACTCCGTCTAGGTGTCCTTACTGTTCTTCTGTAGGGCATCACAGATATTTTCTTGTGCCAGTGCTGTTGGGGCCTTGTGCTTTCAGACTGTGCACACAGTAGTAGTGCATCTGTCTGTTCCCCCAATGAAATCAAGTCACTGTCAGTTAACACCAGCCTGCTTCCCCGGATACTCAACTACCATAATTACTGCAGCTTTTTTTTCCTACTGGACTGTCATGTTCCTGTGATGTGCTTGGGTAACTCCAGAGCTAGGACTTGCTTTGCCTGACCAGGAGTACCTAATTATTTTTCCTTCCAGAGGGGAACAGTCACTTACTTGTGGGCAAAGGTACAAGAGGAACCTAGCTGACTGAGCTTGTCTCCGGATTGGTTGCTTTTGTACAGAGGACTGGAAGAGACAGTGTAAGAACTAGAAACCTGTATAGTTTTCTTTAGTCCAGGGACCCCTGTGATAGGGAGAGCTGTCAGATAGTGGGCAGATCTATGGACTTGTCACCTGCCTCCATAAGCCGATACTACGTTTATTAAAGATGGCATAGTACCATGTTCCCTTAGAGTTCAGTTCTTCGAGCCAGGGCATCATATCCACTATGAAGGGTGATGTGGACTAGGTATTAATGGAGGTAGAGTGGGAAGTATATTATTCTTTGGAATTGCTTGTCTTGCCATATAATCTCAAATGTACTATGTTAGATGAAGAAAGGGGGAAACAGCTGTACCTGATGGTACTGCCTTTTCCATACATTAGTAATCTTAGTTTGGGGAGCCAAACAAAGTTCTTTTGTTTTCTGGAATTTGCAGAGTTACAAGTAGTCTCTGTTTCTGTATACAGGGATGTTGTTGTTCTTTGTATGCTTCACAGCTACATAATCATTGCTGATGGCTAATGTTTCTAGAAGCATTGAAGGTTATGGATTTGTTTCGACGTGCCATTGAAGAAACTTGGACCGAAGTAAATGTGTTTATGATCTGTTGAAATGCCAGTTCTGTTACAAACAAATGATAATGCCTGGGAACAGGAAAGTTGTAGCAGAACCTGTGTAGAGTGTTGCTGATAGTCATAGAATGCTAATATGTGATTGTGTGCAAGTTTATTATTGGGATCCCTGGAGCCCAGACCTGAAGTGAAGCTTCTCTTTAGACAGAATAGTTCTACCAGAAGTAGGAATTTACTTTCCTCAGCTCTGGGTATTATGGGAGGATAGTGGTAGTGCCAGGTGGTTTCTGAACTCTGCTGGGCAGGGGAAAATGGCTTTAATTCAAAGCTAACTTTCTGTTGCTTGGAAAAGTACTAATGGAAGTCTCATTTCACAATACTGAGGACTTGATGTGGTCTTCCCAAATACTTGCAGTGGAACTTTCTGGAGTATCTTGCATTGTTTAGGAGGGAATTTGGTTCAGTATAGCATATCTTCTTGTATCCTGGGACCAGGGGAACTTTTGCACATTTAAGTATGATGAAGTTATTTGGATACCTGACTCTACAAGCAGTAGCTTTGTTCCCTGTGACTTATTTACAATAACGATTACTCATCTGTATCCTTTCCTACCTGTGAAGGAATGCTTCTCTGGAAGAGTGGAGAGAACAAAGTATTTATTCTGACTTAGCCTTTGTTACAGGGCTTCGGGAAAGAACTTTCAGCTCTGTCTTATCAGTGATAAAGTAGTTATTTAATGACTAGTAGTATCCCTGCTTGCTCTCTGAAAACCGGGAGCCCAGCCACCTCCTGTACTTTGTAGCTGATTCAGAGGTGAGCCTGCTGTTAAATTGCCACTGTCTGAGAGCTGTGTTGCTGACTTTTAACTGATGACTTCAGATGATTTGATTGGCTTTTATGCATACTGACCCATTTCTTGTAAATCGGGTAACGCCAGAGCCCTGTTAGTCCAGGGAGGTAATTCAGACTCCTTTTAGTGACATCCTGCTGGGTCACATCGTGAGTATCTGTTCACTGGAATTGGATTATTAGTGTTTACACAGAAGTAGAATGAAGTTTTGTAAGTTACAGTTCTAGGTCTAAGTGGTGTATTACAGGTAACTGACACATTCACCTTCTCTAAACAGGCCAAAAGTCTGAGGGAAGTGTGTTGGTTTTTTCCACTGTAAGTTTTATCTGCCTCAAACTTCAGTAATGGGGCTTTAAGTAGTATGTTCAAGTTACAAGTATAATCTTGCAACTAAGCCAAAATACATTGTCTTGCTTTATTTTCTCATGTTTTTAGCTGAATGCTTCTTGTTGCATGACTTCTTGTGCAAGGAAGCTGCTTTATGTTTCATCCTGGAATGATAGTAGAAAGGCTTACAGGTGAATTTATTATCGTGTAGTTGTCTATAATACAGTCTGTATTTGATTTTGTTGTGCCTGTGTAGTTATAACCAAGGAATTGGTAACTTAAAATAGAGATAACACTGGTAAAAGCAGCAGAACTTACTAGTCTTGGCTTATGCTGGATGTTAAACATCTAGTGTTTAGAATGTGATTTTTAAGGGGTGCATACCAGCTTGTGTATAAGAATATGGGAATACTTAACAGCTGGTTCCAGATTTAGTTAGAAGAAATGCTTAAGTAAAGAAATGAAGTAGCAGTCTGGATGTGCGGTACTCAGGTTGAATTCTGAACCCTCTGGTTTACAGTGAGTGTCTTGGGTTTGATCTGTGTTTCCTAGGTTGAGTTAAAGGG